ATGTGGCAAGTGACCTCGGGGTCAATGCCAGGCATCTCGTATAGCGTCCAGGCAAACACTTCTATGTTTGCTCGTAAGAAAGCCTCCAACTTCCTCTCCTTCTCATCGGCTAAGCTTGAGCTAAGAAGAAAGAAGCGCTCTGCATCGTCTTCTTTTACAAGAATCTTTTTCAAGGCTTCCTCACTCTTGTCGGTCGGCTCTTTGCCGACATCATCCAGGACCTCTATGTCCTCGTCTTCAATTTCTACTATTTCTGTCTCTCGCACGTTGCAGGTGGATTTCATTGCTACCATAGAGCAATTTTTTGTCTGCACTTGATCCCCTCTGACCTCCTCAATTCCATGCTCCGTTGGAAACCGCAACAGCTGGTGCAATGTTGAGGGAACAACCCTCATTGCTTGTAACCACGGTCTTCCTAAGATAACATTGTAAGGGAATGAGGTGTCAATTACTGTAAACTCTGTGTTTACCTTCTTCGTGCCTGACTGCACTTCCAAATTTGTGGCTCCTAAAGGCCACGTTGGTATTCCGTTGAATCCAACCATCGGGCTATTGGATTGTTCCAGATCATCTGGCTGAAGGCCAAGCTCCTTGTAACATCTAACATATATGATGTCACAAGAACTGCCTTGAGCAACCAGTATGCGCCTTACCTGGCAGTCCCCAATCTTCAGCGTTATCACCAAGACATCATTGTGTAGATGTTGCATCATATCCAGGTCTGCCTTGGTAAAAGAAACCATTGGCCCCTGGTACTCGTTGGTCCTAGGCTTCTTTTGTTGGACCTGATACACATGTTGTAGATGCCTCACTTTCTGAGTCTCCTTACGTACCTCATTCTTATTGACCTTTGAGTGAATAACATTAATCACCCGAGGTCCATCTGCTTGCTATGGTGGCAGTGGCGGAGGTGGTGCTACCTGTGCCTGGGGCAGCCTTGCTTGCTCTTCTCTTGTTCTAGCCTCATCTACTAGGTCTCGCAGATGACTCTATTTGACTAGATCCTCCAAGTGCATCTTCAGAGCCCTGCACCCCTAAGTCAAATGCCTATCTTCATTATGGTAGACACAATGCTTCCCAAGGCTTCTTCCCATAAACTCGCCAGGGACCTTTTCCGGTGCTTTATAATATGGCTAGTTCTTGATTCTTTCTAGAACTTTGTAAACCGGGATCCGGAACACAGTGGTGACTGCTTGTGCAGCTCTCAACCCTGTCTCCTGCCTGTTAAAACTAGTGTTACCTCGACCTCGCTTCGGCGAGCCGTTTCTCTTCTCTTGCTTTGGCGCCTTTGTTCCCGATGTGTCCTCTGTTGCTCTAGCATATTTTTTAATCCGAGCCATAAGCTCCTCCATACTTTTTGGTAGAGTTTTCGCCAGTGACTTCCAAAGAGGGCATTTATCCTCCATGCTGTTCTTAAAAGATATAACTGCATGTTTCTGGTTATATCCCGGTATTCGGTTGAACACCTCATAATACCTTTTGGCATATGCACTGAGGCTTTCACTCTCGCCAATTTTCAGAGCCATCAGGGAGTTTACCCGTAATGGCTACAACTTGTTTGTAACAAACCTGGCCACAAACATCTCAGCCAGGCCTTCCCAACTCTTCACAATTCCTTTCGACAATTTGTAGAACCAATCTGATGCGATTTCCCCAAAGGATGAGGGGAACACCTTGCACAACAACTACTTGTTCCCAGTATACAAAGCCATTGAATTCAAATATAAGCCGACATGGAAGTTCGGATCGGACTTACCGTCATAAATCTGTAACCTCGGCATATGGAACCTCTTTGGGGCCTCAAACCTATTCAATTCCACTGAGAACGGTGTTCTCGGCTTGACAAGGGAGGTAACCTCAGCGTTTTGTCGCTTCCTCTGGAGGTAGTCCCTTAAATCCTCCTTCGTTTGTTTGGGAGCTCGGCTATCAACAGATTTCAGCCTTTTTGGTGCGCTGCTCCCGGTGTCGTAGTGTGTCATCTTGGATTTTTCTTCATTCACTATATCAAAGCAAAATCCCTTCTCGTGGACGTGCCGATGTTCTTTGACATAAGTTCCCTTGGTATGAGGCGTCCTCTGAGACTCACCTTTCACTGACTCTGCTTGCCTGACATCCGGTGAAGGCCGATGTGAACGTTCCTTCTCCTTGTCATACTGAGGGACTACTGGTATTGCTTTCTGCCCTCTTTTCTGGGAGTCGGTCTTGGCCGCTGGTATCGGCGTGCCCTGAAACGGGTACGGTGGTTGCATTACGTTGTTCTGCATCATAAAGTGGACAACTGATTGTAGGTCTGTCAACTTGTTTGCCATCCCTTTTATCTCGCCATCCTTCCTCAAGCATTTGTCCTTCCATACCTAGAGGTCGTTTTCGTTGTAATACTCATCTCGGCCTGCTTTCTTTGGGGCATCTCCCTTTTTGTCGACGTCCTTATCCCCGGGATTCTGATCCCGTGCTCCTTCATTATGGTTTTCTTCCTCGATGTTAGGATCGGCATGTTTACCACTCCTGCCTGGAACATCGTCATCAATCTTTTCTCCCAGTTCGTTGTTAGCCATTTATTCTCCTTAAGTTCCCACAAACGACGCCCAATTGTGGGTGTTAAACTTTAACCACACAACCAAACCGGGAACTCAACTGTAGAACACCAGCAGAATAGCAACAACCTGCACAAGAAGATGAGAATCTGGTGGTGGTTCGTCCACCCAGGGGCACTCTGACGATCAAATCAGTAATCTCTCAAAGATATCAATTCAAGTATTTAACTTACAAATTGCTGCTCATAGTATATTACACATACCTAAGACCCATGGGGGTGCCCTGCTTTTATAGCCAGTACTGACCTGACCCCTTTAGAAGCCTAGCTTCAGTGAACTCAGACTCAATGCTCATCCTGGATCCTCATCTAGATAGAAATAAGCTCTTCTTTAGCCTTATCTTTATCCAAAAATGAGATCCTTTCGAATTCCAGGACTCCTGTACCTTATCCACTTATCTTGGATTTCTGCATCTTCGCAGATAACTTCGGCCTAGCCGAGATCATCTCGGTGACATGCCAAGGACAAGTGGCACCTCGGTTAACATTTCAGCGTCACCTTGCCACGTGCAGTTATTCACAAAATACTTCCCCACCAAAAGTAATTATATTTAATTCATTTTTAAGTATTTATTGAGTTTTATTTTTAGTAATAAATGTTTTAAGTTTAGTAACATTCCATTGTCGCTGATTTTGAGGGGTAAAAAAATGTAAAAAAATTACAAAACAGTGGGAAGTAAGAAAATTATTTACTAAAAGGTGAGGTGAAACTTTTTTTTATTTTTTATTTTTTACACAAAAAAAAGTTGTATCCTATATGTTTATAATTAATTTTTTCTTATACATTGATTTATATTTTTCTCAAAACATTAAAGCTTCAATTAAAAAGTGCCCACATGTCAAATTCCTAGTTCTGCCATTGGTTATAGGGTATATCATAATGTTGCTCGTTTTCTTTTCTAAAAATATATTTTTGCCTATTTCATTGATTTGTACGAGACAACATCAAAAATTTATGTACCTAGAATGATACATGATTTATTATCATATACATTTACATTTTTCTATTAGTGAATCATTGAAATACAAATTTTTAAAATAGATTTAGAATATTATCATTATTTATTTGCTTAGTTATAGATTTAGAATATTATCATTATTTATTTGCTTAGTTTTAATAGTGATTTATTGATTTTGATGGTTTACATTGAATTTAACCCAATTGTTTAGACTTGTCTAATTCATTACTTTTGCTCAAATGCTATAATCATGGCTCCGCCCTTGAAATCATATAATTTTGGATAAAAGTACAGTGTTAACATTATTAATTATAAATGTGAAATGATTGTGCTACTCTCAAATCATATATTTTTTTTTGTTACTTTCTTCCTCTCTTCTCTCCCATGCACATAATTTATAACTATAATATTAATTCAATTAAATCACAATTAAATATTAATTCTTAATTATAATCCTTAACTTTTTAATCAAATTATATTTTAGATTATATATAATTTTTTATTGTAATTCTTAAATTTTTAATATAATTTTAATTTAATTATATTTTAGATCACAATTAATCCTAAGTTTTTAATTATTTATAGTAATTCCTAGCATGTTAATCTAATTTTAATTATTAAATTTTAGATCAATCGTCAATTATATTTTATATTTTAGATCAATCCTTAATTATATTTTAATTTAATTTATTTTAATTAACATATTAATCTAATTGTAAGTTCACAAAAAATAGAGATAAAATTGTTTTTTTTTCTTGGTATTAATTTCATTTTATTTTTTCAAAAAATCAAACCCAGTCCTAAAAATGATTTATGTATTACACCTCTATTAATTTGGATAGAAAAATTAACTATAACAGTTTAATCCAAAACCACATGAAATTTTTTTAGCTATACCTAAACCTAAATTATAAAGGGTAAAGCACTCAAAACCTCAAACCTCAATCCATGAGAAGGTAAATTTAACCCTAAAAAAATTTAGAATAGATATATTCATTTATTTTCCATGACATGGGTCCGTTCGACAAGGAAGGTTGGGGCTAAAATAGCCACAAAAGACAAAATAGGCTATTTTAACCACAACAAACAAAACATCACATCCAACCCATAATTATTACACTCCTCTCTCACAAAAAAAATCAAAAAAGCCAAAAAGTCAAAAAGCCCTTCCCAAACTAAGCTTTTTAGCCCAGGCTAAAATAGCCAAAAAGCCAAAAAGCCAAAAAGCTAACCCACTTCCCAAACGAAGGCATAATGTTCGGTTGTTAAAGAAAGAATATTTGAAAGATGTTGGAGCTTACCAGGTGTATACAATATTTCCACGCTAGGCACCGGAATGCATGATTAAAGTTGAACAATACTAATACAGAAGAAAATTTTCATTGCAACGGTGATACCAAGACTCGGCCTAATAGCAATTAGATCAACAGCAAAAACGAGACAGAAAATACTGACAACTGAAAATTTGAAATTTCATTAGCCAACACCTGTTGAACAATCATGTGAAAACAAACAATACGTCCAGCATCAACAAACTGAATTTGAAAAGAAGAAACTCGCCGTGATAACCATTTCGGAGAAATGCTATTCAGACACGTGCGAGAAAAAAAGAGAGCATATGTTTGATTAAACTAATAAATAGGTAAACATGTCATAAGTCGATACAATTCATCACAGAAGGAAATGCTATTTTGCCTTCTTGATGAGAGTAGTTGTTCTGAACTCTGCGTCATCTCTGATGAAACTCCACCAAAGGTAGGTGAGAGGGATGGTGGTGGCATGCCAGAGAGCATGAGCATCCACAAATCCTGAGTATGGTGGAAAGTCGTATATCTCCAACAGCGTGGCAATACCTCCTCCGATCACAACTATCCATAACCTCCAGCGTGATGGATGGCAGGTAATACCGGCCCAGATAGCCCATATGAGAAGCTGAGCTAAACCCATTCCCAAGCAAACTTTCATGTTCAAACCTGCAAAATTGTCCAGGTCATAATTTAAAGCAACACAACATTTACTTGGTAATATGAAGCAAGGATGAGATTCCATTGAAGAGAATTGAGATGTGTACTCCAAATAACTTCTCATTTTACCATGTAGATATATTGTCACTTCATATGTAGGCTTACTACAATGTCGATGAACTCTTCTCTGTCCCAACAAGTAGAAATTAACAATAATAACTTCTGTATGCATATGTGACTCAACTCTAATACTGTCATCTACCATTCAATGGGACAACTCTACTCCAGTCTAACCCAAAAGAAAAGACAGCATATCCCAGAAGATGTAAATAAACAGAATGTCTAGACAAAGCTTTTAAGTTTCAGATTTTGCGGATTTAAACTTTTGATATATTGTGCATTTCAGATTCAGACGAGGGAAAATCATAAAAATTATGGTTCAAGATCCTTTGTGCATTCGGGGGAGAAAGATGTTTATGTTAAGAAAAGCAAAAAAGAAATTTATTTCTGAGAAGTTACGAGGTAAGCCAAATTTAAGACAAGAAATATATTTGGGTCAAATTCAGAGGCAGAAGAGAGCAGCAACCACCTCTAAATCCAAGATGAGAGAGACAGTTTGATTGTGTGCCACAGAACAAATTAATGAATTGGCAACGAATAGCAGAATGGTCTATGTTGAAGAAGAAATTCAAAAGAATACCAATGAGAAAAGACAACTTAAGATTTTGCAGATAATTGTTAAACAGAGCAAATGAAGTGGTTTTGGCAAATGGAAATCTTCTATCCACTATAGCATTTAGAAGAAAAATAAATATAATCAAGCACAACTTTAGCAAGAGTTTTGTGTCTTCTTAGACATGGTAGTGTCGCTGCCCTTGAATAGGGATATGTTGCCAATGCAGTGTTCAATAAGTGGAGGTTTGTTAACAGTAGGCTTACCATAATCGAGTTGGTAAAAATTCAAATACAAGATGTGAGTCGTCACAAATGCAATCAGCGGAGCAGCAACCATTACCCTTGTAGCCTCATCTCTCACATTAAAAGCTCGCATTATAGCCACAATGAGGGAAAATCCAAGTAATGCCACAGCAGATGAATAGTCTAGCTTCTCTGTCAAATCCACATCTCTGCAAATAATTTAGTTACACAGAATGTCACACAGAAGAAATATAGAAACAAGCAATAAGATACAAGAACACAAAGTAAGCAGATTTAGTTATCCCTTGTAACAAATAACAAGTTTTAAGAGAAACAAATCAAGAAACATATATTATATTGCTGGGCAAATAGAAGCATGTTGGTAGTATAACTGCAGTCAAAATTTATTTATGCAATACACAGAGTCAACCAGCAATCCTAACTTCCCACAAACAATACATAGAAAGTCCCAGATAACTCCATTGCAAATTTATTCTCTTTGTTGAATAACGCAGAAGAAGGGGCACATGCAAGGACAAGTAACTAACAACCCACGTCACAATTAGAAACAGTACCATATGAAAAACAAAGAGTATGCACAAATTAAGGGAAATGCTAATGACCGCCCAAAGGGCTGTCACTACTAGCCTCCATGGGCGTGAGAAAATTATATGAAATTGTGTGAAAAGTGTTTAATTATATGTAGAAGTGCCTAGAGATGTGTAAAAACTTTGGAATTCACACATTTTTTTCCTTGCTTTTAATGACAAGCACATTGGGCTGGTGTTAGCATGACCCAATTAAGATACTAAATTGCATTTAAAATCCATATTAGTTGTGTGTCAATAAATTGATGAACACTTGGATGCCAATATAATACTCCAGAAAGATACAGTGATCAACTAGAGATGGGGGATGATGACAAAGACGAAGAACAAGACAGCTTACCGACTGTGGAAAACAGCACTCCATAACCAACAGTTCATCGCTAAAAGCCCATAGATATGAAACAGGCCCGTGTATTCATAGTATGTCTTTTTATTTGGTCTTAAAGGCAACTTATAGTTAACAAGGATGAAAAAGGACACCCAACCATGAAACTGCATGGCAAGATTAAGAGCAGAGAGAGCTACAGAAACAGGTTCCTGGAAACATGAATGACATTTATCAGGCTAGGTAAAAACCATATAAGCAATGAAAAATCAGCCTACCACACAGTACAGAAATAAGAACCCAGAAAATAACATGTTAGAACCTGGATTCCATAAACGCGCTTGAATGGCCATTTGCCATGATACTTAACAGGTGTGTCACCTAATTTCTTCCTTTCTTCCTCCCTAGAAAGCATACATTGATATCGACAGTCACTGCGGCAGTCCCATTGTTTCCAACGCTGATAGAGTGGTTCTTGTAGATACCATGGACCATCAATGGGGACCCCATCAGAAGAGAATTTACAATGTTGGAAGCATTTTTCCCCTGCACATCCAGTCTTCTCACATTGCTCAACACAAGCTCTGGCAAACCAGCAAATTTTATGCATCATAAGGCATGAATAAAATCACAAAATAGATATAGAAGCTGCCAGCAAAAGGAAATAAGCGCACACAAACCAGAACTCAAATCAAAATTATTCACATTTCACTCTTGAATCTAGCCTATGACCATCTAAAATATAGGGTAAATTTCACTACCCCTGAGGGTATCAGAAATTACACTGACTTCCCTTCTGTCAAATATTGTAACAGATTTCCCCATCTTAGTTTACAATTGACCAAATGTAAAATGCTGATTTCATGTTACAGTTATTTCATAATGCCCATCTTTCCGTTTGTAAGGTATAACACTTGCGCCAATCAATTATTGCCATATCATATTCACCCTTTCCAGTATTCTTCTTCCTGCCTCTCGTGTTAACACAACAATGAGCAATCAAAACTCGCTACAACCAGTCACCATTACCATCTATGCTATACGACATACACAAAAACGAACTATCTATACATGTAAATAGACTCATTCATACTACCATAGCTTCTACAACCACTGCTTCTACAACCACCAACAATGCAGTGGCTGCTACGACCATCAGCAACACTATAGAAACACCTCAGCCACCATGCCGGTTCTATCAAGACCCATCGTAGACACCTCTCTCTACTGATACACCTACCATCCATTGTCAAATCACGCCTCATGAATCATTTTGCTAAAATAGTGAATCCTGAATTGTAAGATTCACTCTATTTAGCATAATATATGATTTTATATAGGAGAATTTGGTCAAAGCCCCCTCATAATAAACTTTTCATGCATTAAGGACAATCACATAAATTTTGCCTTGAAAAGGCCAACCCACACCACTATTACCAAAATATCATTCGTGACTAATTTCATATTTCAGATTTTAAAATGATATAACTTTTTATCTCTATGTCGGTTTTTAATAAAATTAATATTTTTAGAATCCTCTTATCAAAATCTATTAAACAAGATCCATGTTGGCCATATTTTTTTTTAAAAAAGATAATCAATTTTTTTAGCATCGAAATTAACGTCAAAAGTAAAATTTTATTATGTTTCACAATAAAATTTTACTCTGATTCATAGTAAATTTTACTGTAAAATTTTAGTATTTAAATAATGAAATACCATCATCATCACTAAACACTAATAAGTCTATAATCACTTAAATTGTTACTGTTACAAGTAGAAATATTGAATAAAAAAATTATTAAAATAATGAAATGATAATGTTAACGGAGAAAATTTAACTGTTAATTTAAAACAAAGTCAGCAAACAAAAGACAGATTACATATTGCCATAGCAAACCAGATTAAAATTTTACTGTTACTTTAAAACATAGCATATCAGCCAATAAAACATAAGCCACATATTACCAGAGCAAACAAAAATAAAGTTTTAATATAACAACAAACAATATATTGTTATTCAATCGGACTCAATAAAAAATAATTATAACAAACGAAATACACATCGTTCAATCTTCAATTTCACCGAAATAACTTTTAATAATTATTCACTCTTTCGTCCAAAGAAACAAACCAAATACACATCTCTTGTAGAACTCAATCACAAATTTCGATCCAAACAATCATCGAAATACAACAAATAAGATTCAAAATATAGTAATTATTGAAGTTCTATGACTCAATTGTAGAACCATCTCTTGCAATCTTGTAGGAATTTTCAACTTGAAAATTGAAGACGATATATATACAAATTTAAGTGTGTATATATGGAGAGAAAGGGAGAGACTTTATCATGCTGATGGTTGAGATATGAAGAGAGAAGTAATAGAAGATAAAGGGATAAATAAATTTTAAAGGACTTTATGCATTAGAAAATATTTACTTGTCATTTTAACACTATACAATTATGTTAAGGGACTTTTGACCAAATTTTCCTTTTATATATGTATATACATATAAAAATACTCAATGAATAAACATGAATATAACTAAATTGTGTATATATACATATAAAATCACGTATTTCAATATAATTAATTGAACTCATTCGTAGCAAATCGTAACGAATTGCATATGATTCACTCAATTTAAGATTCCACAACATGAATCGAATCATTTTTGTTGAAATTCGTAGCGAATCAAATGAATTGAATTGTGAATTGCAAGATTCTAACAAACATGCTACCACCACTATTATGCTTACTTCACCCCCAACAAGCTAACCACATATACCAACCACAACTACAATCACCATATAGTCATTGAGACCCTAGATTGATTCTCTAACCACCATTGAACCACCACAACTAAACTCATCACCAAATTCCACATATAAAATCACTGCCAAACTAACCACCGTTGCCATTTTCTATCAACATCAACCGTTCCCACTACCATAACTAATGGGATTTTGTAACCGAAGACGCACACAAACAAGGGTGGCTTGGCCCAACAGTAAGACTTGTCATTAAATCTTTGGTGGTGTGGGTTCAAGTCATGGAAACAATCTCTTCAAAAATTGGAGTAAAATTGAGGACATCTTGCCCTTCCAAACGATGCATTAGCGGGAGCCTCGTGGACTAGGTCACCTTTTTTCCATATGCACACAATTTTTGAGTAAAATTGTGTGCACCTTGCCCTTCCAAACGGTGCATTAATGGGGGGCTTGTGCACTAGGTTGCCCTTTTTTTAATATGCACACAAACACTCAAAATTTATGCAATTTCATCACATAATACACCTTGTACATTATTCACACCATTTTTTTGTACACACATACAATAAATTTAAAATATTTATTTTTTATTTTCACTCAATACACACTTTAATATAAAAAAAATTTCTTCTATCTTCAATGTTAGAAACCTTAATCTTATCATTGCCAGCCACACAACCATCACCACCAGCCAATGTTTTAAAAACTAGACTGGTGAGCGAACCGGTAAAAGGATCGGGTGGATGGTTTACCGGTTCAACTGTTGGGTCGAATCGGAATTGAACTATGCTGTTATAATTGTTTTATAAATATATAAAAAATTACTTAATAATAATATGAGAATTTAAATACATACAATTATGTAAATATATTGATTATATAATGTTTGAAAGAAAATATTACAAAAATATATATGTAGCAAATATAAATAAAAGTTAAAGTTAACATAGTGGTTAATTGTTAAATATGAGTTTGTTTGGAATAAAATATAACGAATACAACAAATAATATTTTTTTTCACTATATATCAACAAGTAACTACGGTAGCTCAATGGAAATTGGTGTGCTTTTCAACTCAAAGTTGCTGGGTTCGATTCCCATAAGCTTTTCATCATTTTATAGGTGCACTTTCTAAGCTGCTAGCCCGGGCCAGTTTGCTCCAACCAGTGCCGATTTGTTTGGTCTGCTGATTTAATTGCGGGTTTGGCCGGTTTAGCTTAAAAAGACTGCTTTTCAAGCTAGTTCGGATTTGAGGGTTGATCTGGACCGAAACCTGAACTGGTCAATAGGTCAAATTGGCCGGTCCAGTCTGGTCCAATTTTCAAAACCTTGCCACCAGTCTCTTCCTCTGACCACCCCAGCCCTTCCCTCCCCCTCCATGACCACCAAATTGCATTTAGGTTGCAGAGTCCAAAGCTTTTAGCATACTCAAACCAAAACAAATACCACCATCCACGTATCTTCACCTTTTCAATTTCACCTACTCTTGAATAGGGTGCTTTTGAAGGTTTATATAGCTTCCACATCCCACAGACAAGTCATGCAACCAAAGGCAGCCTTGTTTGCCCACCAAAGTCATAAATTAATCAAACTATTACTATTAAAGCCTACATTACTCTCATTTCTACAAATATTTACAACATATCATTGATCCATGTTAGGGGAATTCCTGATGGTGGTACTTTGTGGGTTAGCGATGGCTGGTGGTGGGAGTGGCTAAAGGGGGTGGCAACTAGGGTTTTGCAGTGACATGGTATAGCGGCTGGCGGTGATGGGATTGGGAAGGAAGGTGCGTACCTTTTGTCCCTAATGGTAACTTTTTTAGGGGAAAAATCGTAATTAAAAAATTTCAAGAAATGGTGTGAACTAAGAAGAATTATGCTGTGCAAATAGAAGCTCCCCTACAACAGTAAGGATGAGAAGGGTAAGTAAGTGGCTTATATATCAAATTCAATCAATAGCAATTGCAGAGGGTTCCATGAAAGAAGACAATGATGAAGTTACTAATTTTTTAGGGCTCATGGAGTTGGGGTCAAATTTGTTAATTGGAGCCTTTTATAAGCAATTTCTCTTCTATTCTCTTCCCCCCTTAAACTTGATTTTGATTGATCTTTACCCTAGTTTCTTTTGTCCCTCAATTACATTTGATTTGACAACAAGTATGCTCATGAAGGCAATTAGGGAGATTGCATGATGGTGGTTGCAAGTCAAAGAACAAACTATGTTACTAAAATCATAGTTTGGGTTTAGATTGTAGATGACAATAACGGGATAGGTAGAGGTGTTCAAAATGGATTGCATAGAGGTCCTACAACAATAGAGAGAATCCTCATAAAAGCATCACCAGATCGAGCACAAGTGACTTCATAACCAATCAAAATCTTGGGTAAATCGATTGAAATGGGTAGCTTCAAAACTACCTAGAGCATCAAGGGGAGAGATGAGTTCCACTTGAGTGTTTCCTCTTCTAATGACTTCTAATAAAGGTGGATCAATAATCAAATGGTGAAGGCGACAAAGTTGGCAATGGTATAAGTTATTCAATTTGGAAGTAATGGCTACTACTAGAGCTTTAATGGAGATATTATTGCCTTCGTACCTTGAGTTTCAGATTGGTGGGGTTTGTGATGGCTTAAGGGTTATGTCATCTGTGATGATATGTTCATACAAATTATAGAGTTGAAGTTGCTATAACTAGTTTAGGTGGCGGCATTGGAGTCCCCATGGTGGTGATGGGTTTGGCCATGGTTGGGCAGAGAGAGAGAGAGAGAGAGATTATTGTGTTTTTTACTTAGACTAAAAGGTAATATCATTCTTAAAAGTGTCAGTGCTTCTTAGCTCTTTTATCTCTTTTTGCAAGCCCATCATTCAACTTTTGGTAAAGATCCAAGTTGAGTTCAACATACAATTGGTAGAGTTAGCTTATACATTTAAGCATTACTTCAGGGCTTCCTAGCTTATCATCCACGTCTTGAGTCGTCATTAAGTGAAGTCTTATTGAGATGCAAAATTTATCAAACACAATGTTGAGCCCATGCAATCATTGACAAATTGTTAGAAGTATATGTCAATTTGCCAAAACGTGATTGAACTTTCAATTCAAGTTTCTTGTTAGGTAGCTAGTTTGAACTTGTTACATATCACATAGGTAGTGAAGTCACTAAGACTACATGCCCTCCATTGATCATTTTTTTTCCCGAGAGCCCTAAGACTATAACATGTGAATAATTCTACTAGAGGCTACTTCGTTACATGAATATGCATTTTTAGTAAGCAAATGTAGAACCTTATGTACTAATTAGAGCAACAAGCACAACTTGAACAAGTTAATCCCTATGTATCTAACTAATGAACTTTGGCTACAGATTTCAGACTTGGGGTTGGTCATTGATTGCAAAATACCTGGCTGTTTTAGATTTGGATTGTGATTGGTTTAAGGCCTTAGGAAACATGAGCCAACCTGAAATTGAATCTAACTAATGTTTATTTATTATTGGGGTCTTGCTAACAAATGGGACACTTTTTTCACAAATTTCAAAACACTTTTCCCCATGTTGAAAAGTTATTTTAACATTTTCACCTATATCGCAAACCCGTTTCACCCCATTCCTGATGCTAAACATGCCCCAATGGCACCCTTTAACATTTACCTTATTATTAGGCAATCAAAACAGTAATATAGTTATGTATGCATAGGCAAGCTATTTTTTTTTTCTTTTTCTCGTACACTTAAGTCAGCATTAGATCTGAAAATATATTTTCCACACCATTTACAAATTTCAATTACTAAAGGTATGGGAATTACAGCTAAGAATCCGATGTTGATAATTAGTTATCGATGACCCACAAAATAAATGAATAAATAACCATGGCTACATCGCTATCTGACAGATAACACTGAAATGGGTCCACAGATTCATATCTCAATTAATTCCATCTCAAGGCGACTATTATGTCAATCCTAATGCCCATCACTGCTTAAATTGAATGGGTCTTTCAACCAATATATAAAGGGCTCAGGGTTCCTTAAGGGAGAAAAAAAATAATAATAATTTAAAGTTCAGGATAAACTCTAATCACAGGTTCTTTTACTCTGATTTCTCAAAAACTGAAAAGCTCGCATCAAGGTAACCAAATAATTGTACTAAGAGTAGTTGAAAGTGACAATTTTTACAGATTCGTTTAGTTTTTAGTAGACTTTGCGAACAATTAAACGCGTCCTTCAAGTAAAATCACAGTGAATTAAACACAAATCACAAAATTAGATGAACACATAATTAACGAGCAATTAAAAAACACTGATTAAAAGAAGCTTACTTGTAAATCGGATCAGAATCACCAGCACTTGCGTCGACGATAGCAACAGCGAGACACGAAAGCGAAGCGAAGAGCAAAATCAAACGACATTGTGCCATCTGATTTACGGAGTAGAAGAGAGAGAAGGACTCAAAACCAAAGGTTTTAAGATTTTTTTAGTCTCAACTCGATAGAAACGAAGATCTATATGAAGATGTGTCATGAATCATCGTCTCTCGCGGGACCAGAGAGAGAGAGAGAGAGAGAGAAGATTCATGGAAAGTAGCTCCAGATTATGAAGATTGAATCTGAAGACGATTGATTCGCGTACATATATGTGTGTATATATATATATGAATTCAAGGACAGACGTGAAAGCAACGAAGAGAGAGAGAGAAGGGAGAGAGAGGGCAGAGCTCGATATTGATGAGTAGAGACCGGAATCTCGTGAAGAGCACTCTCGGAGCTGTTTTACGAGAGGACACGTGGAGTCCAATGGCGTCGTATGATTTTACTGAAATAACCCTACGTACCTTTCCGTGTCCCCTCTGCAAAATACCCTTCGATCTACCTCGATCTTTTTATTAAATTTTAAAATTTATAATTGGTATTCGAAATCGTTTCATTCCGTTATAATAGATATATTTTTTTGAATTTCTAAATAACATATTAAAATAAAAATAAGAAAAATTTAAAATATAAAATTTATTATAAATTAATAATTATATATATAAATATTAATATATAAAATTAATTTGGGTTATATATATTAAAAAATTATATATATTATGAAAATATTTTGATAATTGTTTGAAAATACTTTTCAATCAATTAGTAAATTGAAATTACCATAACTCACGGTTTGATTATTTTTCAGTTTGTCACTGTTTGGCATGTGTCAATATAATGCACGTTATTTTAATACATTATGTAGTGTTTTAAGAAGTTGGTAAAAAGTTAATTTTTTGATTATTTTTAATTTATTTTATCTTTTTGTAAGTAAAAAATATGAAAAGTGATGTAACTCAAAATGAGTAAAAAATTAAAAATTAATTTTTTTTTACTTTCCAAAAGACCCCTATCTTATTTGGGTTCCAATAATCTCAACTTACACTTTATGTTTTTCATAAAAACCTAAAAAAATATATTAATTTAACACATGTCAAACACTCTCTTAATTTATAATCTTACTTCCAAATCATCCTAACGCCAGCCTCTCAATTGTACATGTCATCCTGATATTTTATTTATTTATTTATTTTAATTTAGTTGGTTTGGATAACAGAGAACATCGCATTCACAATAATTCAAACATTAGAGTTTTATTTATTTTTATCTATTTATTTTTGTGTGGCGTGTAAAGAAAATAAAATAAAATAATTTATAAAGTTAAAACTTTATAGCTTTGTGACAATGACACTGCAATGGGCAACGTTTATAGTATATCCAATTGTTTTTTTTATATCTCTAACTATTGTTAAATTTGGCAAAAGCTTAATAAAAACGCTCTTTAGGTTTAATTTTAAAAACTAACTAACGGCCGTTCGGTTTATAAATTTAATTTTAAATTTTTTTTATTCAAAAATTCAAGTTGTAAAACATTTTATCTATAAAAATAAGTTCCTACAAAATAATCAAACCACCCTCTATTTCCTCAGCTCCTCTCAGGTTTTATGTCTTGATTTACACTCTCTCTCACTCTCCTCAAATCCCAATGGGATGGCAATTTAAACCCGGACTGGCAGAGACCCAACCCCCCAACCTCGATTAGAACGGTTTTTCCTGAAAATTACCCCCTATAGGGTCGGGAATGGTATTGAAAATTAAATCTCTGATGGTTTTCGGGCCGAGGCCGAGGACAGGGATAGGTTTGTAAGAACCTGAATTTTTAAACAACTAATTAGTTTATTAATAATAATATTAAGTCAATCACTAGTGATTATTAAACTATTAAATTATAATGTTAATTGCACCATAATTAATACCAATATTAAATTCTTTTAAATAAAATTATTTGTCTTGCTGTAATGGAAATACAGTTGTGAAAACTAAATGGATTAAATTAATAGTAAATAAGCTAGTTAGAGTTTAGTAGGAAGAAAATCATCCAGTTAAAAAAAATAAAAATAAAAATATATATATATAATAATAATAAATAAATAAATAAGTAAATAAGAAAGTTATATATATATATATATACTAATATTGTATTGGCATCAATTTCAATTCAATTCAAAAAAAAAAAAAGGGGGTCAAATTGCGAGAAAAGTGGTTGACTGCCACTTCTTTTCCTATACTGATCTAACGCATGCAAGGCATGCTTGTCTCCCAAGTTCACACTCAGCATCCCTAAGAAACAAGCATGGCTTAAGGATGGCAGTTCCAAGCCAATAGAAATTTTTTTTGCTAAAGAAAGGAAATAATAAAATAAAACAAAAAGTTACTCCTATATTTCCTACATAAGGGACCTCACCATCAGCCATAATGCACACACACAGGACTGTGAGAGAAAAGAAAGAGTGGAGAGGAAAAAGAGAGGAGAAAAAGAGAGTAGAAAAGAGAAAAGAAAGAGAGGAAAAAGAGAGGGTACTTGGTGAATACCAATTTCAACTTAGTTTGAGAAGTGTTTGCAAAAACTCTTGAGGTAAAAATGCATCACCTCTATCCTCCCTTAGACACCTCTAAGAGCATCTCCAACCCATCCTTCAAAACTTCAAATATGAAGGATCCTTCCTAATTTTGAGCTCCAACCCATCCTTCATTTCTTTCTCCCAAATGAAGGAAGATGGATTGATCCTTCAAATATGAAGGGAGGATGAACAAAATGAAGGAGACTTTAAAATACTATTCACTTTATATTTCTTATTATATTCGAAATAACTTTTAATGTGTAAATTTAATTTTTATAAAATTGACATCAATAAAAAGTATGAAATCATACCTTTAAAATGAGTATAATATTAAATATATTTTACAAAAATTTTAAAATTAAATATTTATTAATGAATAAAAATTACTTTTTGATTGGAGTTTGAATGAAGGAAATGAAGGTTTGTGGTTGGAGTTTGAATGAATAGTGACCTCCTCTGTATTTACTTTTTGAATAAAAAATATTATTTCCATCCTCTTGAATAAAAATTTAGATTTTTAAGTTACTTTTCAAATGCCGCTGGTTTCATAATTTTTTATTAAGTATTGAGAGAGAAACGCCAATTTTTCCAAAATGTGACAGAATCTGTCCAGTTTTCTTAAAAAAATTATTTGGCCATCTTCCGTTGATTTTCAGTCTTCGAATCCTTCTAGAAATATGTTCTAAACTCAAGTATCTAACAAAACATTCTAACCATACCTTCTTTTGATACTATTTGAGGCCACTTTTCCAACACAGATCACCTGTGCTAGAAGTACTATAACTCACTGTCCCAGAAAAACCAGTTTTCTTCCAAAATTTAATTCTCCCTTTTAAAATCGTTTTTAGCTCTGGCATTCTTCTTGGATTATTTTCCTAACTCAATGAACTAGCACCAGTTAAAATATCGTAATGGTTGAACATCGTTTGGTATGGGTTTCATATTTTTTTTTTTTACCATACAGTGCTGAAAAAAGTAATGTGTAAATTCCTAAGAAATTTTGTGATAATTCCTAAAACATTTTATCATATTTATTTTGGTTGTCATACACGATTGTGTTGTGCTATATAAACATTATGTCGCTGTAGTTTTCAAACTAAAAGTCGTACATGCATCAAAATGTGAATTGGACAAAGTAAAAGGACACGGAATCGAACAGATACATTAAAATTTAAAAGTGGTGGGGTGAGCTCGGTTTAGAATTTTGCGCAAGTGAGTTGTGAACCCTAACATGGCACGGGAAGGTATTTCGGCTCTTATCGGTATAGGCGATATAAGGTTAGTGGTACGGGTGTCACAACATAGACCGTTCCGTTGAGGTAGACCGTGATGTCACGACTCGGGTACGTAACCCTGGTGCGTGGGCATCATTGGTAGTTATAGTAAGTAACATTTGAATATTTGACCAAGGGGGAGTCAGAATTGCTCGTGGCCATTGCTTAGCGGTTGAGTGGAAATAGTTCTCCGCGGGGAGTTACTTAAACTTACCTGTTAAACTAAACCTATGTGACTTTAAAAAGAAAAGTGTGCATTTTCCTTATGATGAATCACTATTTCTGTTTGCCATTTTTTATTTATTTATTTATTTATCTATTGTTATTATTTTAACTGTTGGCATTTATGTTATGTTTATTAAATGCTGCTTATTATTCTGTTATTACACAATATTTATTTTTTTTGTGAGTATTATTATCGGGGTGGGTATTTTCGGGTAGTATCTTATTGAGCTCATCGCTCATTGGCATTCCCATTGCCCTGGCGTTTCATGCCAGGTATCGAAGAAACCGAAGGAAACACCGAGGTGTTGGAGGGCAACATTCAACCCTGGTTAGCTTGAAGCGTGCCAAAATTTCGTGAACCATTTTTTGAGTTTTCTAGTTTTTTTTTTTTTTTTCTCTAGTTCTTTTATATTTGTGTACTAAGACAAAGTTTAAGTTTGATTGGTGTTGTAATTTAAGAATTTTAGTTTTCGTATTGTTAATTAATGGATGATGGTAAATTTTGTGGCAACATTGATGAGGATTTTTAATTAAGAAAATTGATTTTAAGTTTTAAACCTTATTATGATATCCTCAAATTTTAGGGCGTCACAAGGTTCCCCCGACCCCAGCCCCGAATAAACCCCGTACATCCCCGTAGGATGATGGTAAATTTGGTGGCAACATTGATGAGGATTTTTAATTAAGAAAATTGATTTTAAGTTTTAAACCTTATTATGATGCCCTCAAATTTTAGGGCGTCACAAGGTTCCCCCGACCCCAGCCCCGAATAAACCCCGTACATCCCCGTATATGTAATATATTTCTAAATTTCATCTTCATTCTCTCCTACTGTTGAATCCCTCATTTCACTCACTCATTTTCTCTCTCTACTAATCTCCCCTCTCTCTCTCCCCCCTCCACCGCCGATCTTCTTCACTCGCCACCAATCTCCTCTCTCTCAGTATCTCTCTCTTTCTCTCGCTACCACCGTTGTTGCATATCAACGATCTCGCTACCACCGTTGTCGTACACCACCGATCCCGCTACCACCGTCGTCGCACATCACTGATCTCGCTACCACCGTCATCGTACACCACTGATCCCGCTACCACCGTCGTCGCACACCATTGCAGTGACGTGACTCACCGATCCCGCTACCACCGTGGTTTTTTTGAACAGATCTGCGATTTTTTTTTGAAAAGTCTTGATCAATTTATATATATATATATATTTTCAGATCTAATTTTGTTGTTAGGGTATTATTGTTAAGGTTTTATCTTGTGAAACCCTGTGTTTTTATATAAAAATAAATAAATAAATAATATATATATTTTAA